TGGGCTCACCCTGCAAACAGGCGTCGGGCACAATCGCGGCGAATGCGTGCGCACTTGTGACAATAACAAAGGTCATATAGTGTTACGACCATACGACGTACGGGAATGAGTTATCAGCTGTCTAATCGTAAACAACACAATGTCGAGCCTTAAACTGTAAGCCCGTATTGTATTGTTTCTTTTATTTGGCTGTCGAACATTATTTATGGTTTGAAATATGATTTTATGTAAAATAATTGATATGAAAAGCCGTCTTATAAGTTATGACCCATTTCACCACACGCAAGTGGCAGAAATGACAATGATCAGCTGACGCATTTTTCTGGCCGAAGTCAGAGCGCGCGGCCCGACGCACCACGCGTATTTGGAAATTCCGACCTCGACGAGCATCAGAAGCCACCTAACAGGCGTGTTCGAAACCGCAGGAGATGATGATGAACGGGTTTATCGAAACTTGATTGGATGAGCATATCGGTAATAGCGATTTCAGTGTGTGCATTTATTGTTCATAGTGGTGTGAAATGTGGTTGGGGTACGACCGACAACCCGTCGGGGCGAATTTCGCACTGGGGTACTCAAAATTTGAAGAATTTAAGACGTTTCCATGAGTTTTGAAGGTATGGATAAGTTCTAAAAATCCGGTTCTCCTTATCTGGGCCATTAACTCCATACGGTCCAAGAAAGCTGGCACACTACCTTTAAAGGGACTATCCCACCTTTAACATGGGGTTTGAGTTGAGATAGCCAAGTTTGCGGCGAGGTTCAGAAACCACTATCTATCTAGGTTGCAACCCCCGCGGCCTCTTGGTGTTGAAGAAATTCGTTCCCTTCATTTGAAAATGGGCCTTGTACAAGGCCCTATCTTCAACATGGAGCGACCGTTAGTGTGACGTCACCTCGTTTAGTCATTCTGATTTAAATGGGTTTGTTCGTTGAAAAATCGCTTAAAACTTGGTCTGAACTTTGTTGTGGTGCCTACAGAGTAAAAAGAATCAGCTTTATGACAGTAATGTGGCCTGGGGAAGGAGGTAATTTTGGGCTGTGACGTCACATATTTGAAAGTTTGTGTTTGGAATATGGGAAGCCTAAGATGTTAAATGAAAAATAAATGCCAGAACCGTGTTCCTGGTCATCCAATCTATACAGTCGGGCACAATTTAACTGGTTTTAACAACATTTTAGAAGGTGGGATAGTCCCTTTAACGTATTAGTTCCTTGTATCTGAGAAGTTTTTTAGAATTTCATCTTATTCTCCACTCAATTCTGCGTAAGATGCCGGGTTCCGTGGCCACATAGCTTGAACGTAACGGATGCAGCGACCGCAAACGTAAATCGAGGTTCCGAATTCCCTATTCCCCAACACAGGCGGCGGCCGCTTCCTGGTCTGCGCAACATGGCGGCACCGTTGGACACCATCTGGCGGCCGATGCGCATTCCACATTATATACCGGGGTTACATGAGCGATCCGTTCCAAATACGCACTACGCTAATGCGCATCAGCTCCCCACAAACGGATCTACGGCACCGGTTACATGAGACTAATTCGTTTTATCTACGTCAAACGGATCTTGTTTGGCTCACCCGGGCTGACTCCTCGACGGCCGGTAATTCGCATCACAAACGGAATAGGATTAGCGTACAGTCATGGCGCAGTTGCGGCATTTACCGGGACGACTGAGCTATATTTTAAATACTTATATCATTTGATAGGCTCAAAAACATTTAAAATTATCATGAAATCAAAAAATGAAAACAAAGTTTTCTTGTTTTAAGTCAGTGGGCACTGATTCGCCATGCAGCGACAGCAGGGTGGTCAGAAAAAAATTATCTATAAAAATATTTCATTCATTTTATTTCACATGCAAAGACTAAACCAAAATACCAACATTTTTTTTTTTGCTATTTTCTACGAGGCAGCCAATAAAAAAATGCTTAGTATTTTGCATTTTGACGCTTCCAATCAGCAAAGAATAGTCCTTGTGAAATACGGCCCGAATCGTGTGCCTCGGACGTTTCGGTTACATGAGCGATCCGTTCCAAATACGCACTACGCTAATTCGCATCAGCTCCCCAAGAACGCATTCAGTGCACCGACTACATGAGCAAATTCGTATCAGTGACGTCAAACGGATCTAGTTTGGCTCTCGGCCCGATGCGCATTACAAACGGAATAGCATACAAATGTGGCGCACTTCCGGAGCAATAGAGGTGACTATATCAAAAATTTATTATCTTATGTCTTTTTTGCATTTAATCTGCTCAAAACATTCTCAATTAACTTAACAAAAAAAGTTGAACATAAAGTTGTCTTGCTTTGACTCATTGGGCAATTGCCTTTCTTGATTCGTCTGTAGTGCTGTCAGAAAAATGTTTCAACTGAAATTATGTGGATATTTATTATTTGGTTTTCACTATATTTATTGTTGAAAACTTGGCAAAATACCGACATATTTTTTTAAATATTATTCAAAAGAAGAAAATGAAAAAAATACCTATTATTTTGCATTTTAATGTTTCTTTTTGGGAAGAAATAGTTCCTGTGATACGTATCTTGGTCCTATTCGCTTCTAAGCCTCTTTCCCAGCGGATTTTGTTCGGACCGCCGATTCGTATTAGCAGGTGGATACATGAGTCGGTAGTACGCTCCTGATTCGCATTAGCGGTGAATCCGATCGTGATACGTATTTGCTTTGCTCATGTAACCGCGGATCGGATCGCCGATTCGTACTAGCAGGTGGCTACATGAGTCGGTAATGCGTTCCTAATTCGAATTAGCGGCTAAATACGTATTTACTGTGCTCATGTAACCCCGATAATAGAGTTCAGTGGTTAAAATTCTGAATTGTTGGTAGGGCTCGGGGCCTAGAGAAAATGGCATCCATGACTGTTGCGGTATAGTACTGCTCTAATACCTATGCTGTGAGTGGTGCAATGAACATGACGATTCAGAACCGCATTGGGAAACGTAAAACTAAGATAAAGATTGTACTCCCGTTTACATAACATTTTTTACGAGGCTCTAGCCAATTTATTTTGCGATAATTTCGATGCAGTGATCTTTGCATATTTAGAGGAGACAATTTTGTAAATTGTAAAGCACCACTAGCATCTTTTGCAACATAACGGGAGGAGCTATAAGCTTGCAAGTTGCAACAATCCTTACAAAACTACAATCCTATACAAAACTATCTTGAACAGAACGCTACCAGCAGCAGAACTTATCATCATCGCCGATAAGCCACAAAGCTTGATCATCCATTATATCTACCAAGCCCGTGTGCGCAAAGAACTCACTGAGAATATAACCAAGAAGAGTAACTGTTAAAGAGTCCTCCCAACTATGATGTCCTGAAAATTTATATCATCCAGACAGCTAACATAATTGGAAGACGATCAGAAATGATCCTGCATCTACTAGATGGAGTCGACGAAATAAGTCTAAAAGTCCTTACGTAAACGTGGGCTAGTGTCTCACCTGACTAGCCGTAGCCTCCACATTTTCCTCCGCCTCAGATGGGGAAGGGAGCTGAAATCAGACCATATTGGAAAATGATGTTATCCAATACCCATAAGCTATCTCCTAGGAAGGTGCATATATTCCAATGTGAAGTGCATGTGGGTACTTGGGTGAGACTACATACACTCATTCATTGGGCAAACATTTAAAATACCTACCATGGAAAAATGGCAGAATTGAAAAAAAAACTGTCAACTGTTAAATATGTTAACAGATTGAGGTTTCCTTTTTAAATCATGATGCAATTCCGGAGCAATGTTTAATAAATTAGCATTCCAAATAGCTAAATAACTATTGTCTAAATGTCTTTTCCTGGCCATGTTAAAATGCATATCCAATATAAAGCAGAAAAGTGCCTGATGCCTATCACTTTTCAGGCCCTGTTGCATCTACAATATAAGCAAACACCAGCACAAGCTTACATTTATTTTCGGCACCACAGATGTCTTCAGGCGCCTCCTGGCTTTGGACTCGGAGTCATTGTTGAAGTCGGCGGGTGTAAAATGTCCCTCACACACGCCCGCGCTGGCTGGAACAGCGGCCAGGCGGCAGGCGGCCAGCCATTGCCGGCGGTAGTACGGCTGCGATGGGAAACTGGGGAAAGTAATCTATAGTCAGGCATTCTATAAGATGGGAAACTGGGAAAGTAGTCTAGTCAGGCATTCTATAAGATGGGAAACTGGGGAAAGTAGTCTAGTCAGGCATTCTATAAGATGGGAAACTGGGGAAAGTAGTCTATAGTCAGTCATTCTATAAGATGGGAAACTGGGGAAAGTTGTCTAGTCAGGCATTCTAGAAGATGGGAAACTGGGGGAAGTTGTCTATAGTCAGGCATTCTATGAGATGGGAGACTGGGGAAAGTAGTCTATAGTCAGGCATTCTATAAGATGGGAAACTGGGAAAGTAGTCTAGTCAGGCATTCTATAAGATGGGAAACTGGGAAAGTAGTCTATAGTCAGTCATTCTATAAGATGGGAAACTGGGGAAGTAGTCTACTCAGGCATTATATAAGATGGGAAACTGGGGAAAGTAGTCTACTCAGGCATTATATAAGATGGGAAACTGGGAAAGTAGTCTACTCAGACATTCTATAAGATGGGAAACTGGGGAAAGTAGTCTAGTCAATCATTCTATAAGATGGGAAACTGGGGAAAGTAGTCTATAGTCAGGCATTCTATAAGATGGGAAACTGGGAAAGTAGTCTACTCAGACATTCTATAAGATGGGAAACTGGGGAAAGTAGTCTATAGTCAGGCATTATATAAGATGGGAAACTGGGGAAAGTAGTCTAGTCAGTCATTCTATAAGATGGGAAACTGGGGATAGTTGTCTATAGTCAGGCATTCTATAAGATGTGAAACTGGTGTAAGTTGTCTTATAGTCAGGCATTCTATAAGATGGAAAACTGGGGAAAGTAGTCTATAGTCAGTCATTCTATAAGATGGGAAACTGGGGAAAGTAGTCTACTCAGGCATTCTATAAGATGGGAAACTGGGAAAGTACTCTACTCAGGCATTCTATAAGATGGGAAACTGGGGAAAGTAGTCTATAGTCAGTCATTCTATAACATGGAAAACTGGGGAAAGTAGTCTATAGTCAGGAATTCTATAAGATGGGAAACTGGTGTAAGTAGTCTATAGTCAGACATTCTATAAGATGGGAAACTGGGGAAAGTAGTCTACTCAGGCATTCTATAAGATGGGAAACTGGGAAAGTAGTCTACTCAGACATTCTATAAGATGGGAAACTGGGGAAAGTAGTCTATAGTCAGGCATTATATAAGATGGGAAACTGGGGAAAGTAGTCTAGTCAGTCATTCTATAAGATGGGAAACTGGGGATAGTTGTCTATAGTCAGGCATTCTATAAGATGTGAAACTGGTGTAAGTTGTCTTATAGTCAGGCATTCTATAAGATGGAAAACTGGGGAAAGTAGTCTATAGTCAGTCATTCTATAAGATGGGAAACTGGGGAAAGTAGTCTACTCAGGCATTCTATAAGATGGGAAACTGGGAAAGTAGTCTACTCAGGCATTCTATAAGATGGGAAACTGGGGAAAGTAGTCTAGTCAGGCATTCTATAAGATAGGAAACTGGGGAAAGTAATCTATAGTCAGGCATTCTATAAGATGGGAAACTGGGGAAAGTAGTCTACTCAGGCATTCTATAAGATGGGAAACTGGGAAAGTAGTCTACTCAGACATTCTATAAGATGGGAAACTGGGGAAAGTAGTCTATAGTCAGGCATTATATAATATGGGAAACTGGGGAAAGTAGTCTAGTCAGTCATTCTATAAGATGGGAAACTGGGGAAAGTTGTCTATAGTCAGGCATTCTATAAGATGTGAAACTGGTGTAAGTTGTCTTATAGTCAGGCATTCTATAAGATGGGAAACTAGGGAAAGTAGTCTAGTCAGGCATTATATAAGATGGGAAACTGGGGAAAGTAGTCTATAGTCAGGCATTCTATAAGATGGGAAACTGGGGAAAGTAATCTATAGTCAGGCATTCTATAAGATGGGAAACTGGCATAAGTTGTCAGTAGTCAGGCATTCTATAAGATGGGAAACTTGTGTAAGTTGTCAGTCAGGCATTCTATAAGATGGGAAACTGGGGAAAATAGTCTATAGTCAGGCATTCTATAAGATGGGAAACTGGGGAAAATAGTCGTCACGTCAGGCATTCTAGAAGATGGGAAACTGAGGAAACTCACTATATTATCAGTCTAATGCAACTTATTACGAGCTAGCAAAGCGAAGTCTTTTCAATGATAACGGAAAATATCAGTATGAGCGGCCCGACCCGGCCGGCCTGTAATGCTTTATAAAGGCTTATAACTCAGCGACCGCTGGGCCGATTGACAACTGACCCGTGGTCTCTTTTGTTGGGTAGCCCCATCCCTTCTATCCGTGTTTGACTACGTATTCTTGATGCATCTAGGCGACCATCGTGGCACGTGCCACATGAAAAGCCAAGGGTGTTCAAGCAGTTCCACAGAATAAGCGTTTTCGGGAGGCCTATATCTAGGTAACTGCTTAGATGATTGACTTGTGGTAATTTTTGTAGGGTAGTTGCATCCCTTCTTTCAAACATATTTAGGTAACATAGGTGATAGGGTACTCTCGATGCATGTGGATCACCCCCAGTGCACGTGCAAAATGCAACAAAGAGGTGCAAGATTTGTTCCCATTTTAATAACTCGGTAATTACCATGGCGATTTTGCTGAAACTTGGCATGCTTGGCATGCAGGCAGGCACCTACCAGGCAATGAATTCCCATGTGTTGCGGTTAGGGTGCTACTGCACGTGTGCACGTGAAGGGGGCGCTTGCAGATCTCGAGAATGGCTGGGCCAATTGCACTCAAATTTGGTACACGGTTGGGGACCGGTTAGTAGGGTGCCATGAAAAAGTCAGTTTGAACCCTGTTTGCACGTGTACACGTGCAGAATGCCGCTTCCAGATCTCAGAAACGGTTGGGCCAATTGTGTTCAAATTTGGCAGACTGCTAGCAACCGGTTAGAAGAGTGCTCTGAACAAGCCTGTTGGAAGTACCCTCTCGCCCTTCCGCACTTGTAGGGCTCACTATCTCACTCGCTCGTTCTTCACCCAAAAGGTTTTTCAGGTATTTGAACGTTGTGCTGAGCATTGTTAATAAGATTATTAGAAGGATGAAGAATAACCTGTTGCTCATTTCTATCAGAAATAGAAAAAATAAACCAATATATATTCGGGCGTGGCCCTTCTTCAGTGGTACAAGATCATCTTGTACCACTGAAGAAGGGCCACGCCCGAATATATATTGGTTTATTTTTTCTATTTCTGATAGAAATGAGCAACAGGTTATTCTTCATCCTTCTAACAAAAGGTTTTTAACTTTTTACTGGTACTAATGATAATTAATAACAACACTATTAGAGATGCAACTTAAGTTGAACTTTAATAGCAACAACAAAGCCAGATCATGAAATACAAATAATAAAGAACATGTCAGCACTGCAATCAGGGGTGTAAGTACCAGTAAAGCTACAATGAGGTCCATGTGCTACAACCATTACACAATCCTAAAAAATGTTAACCTCAGTTTCAGAGTTCAGAACATCAGTGTTACCAGGGGTGCAAGTTTGGGAATGGTGGCCGCAGGACATCACATACGATCGCAGCAGAGCATATTGCTGAGCCAGCAAAATGAATAATATCAGAAATTAAAAAACTAACCTAAAGAATCTAATTATTTATGACCTGCAAGTACTTGAATTTATATTAGGTATTAAAAAGTTCCACAGTTTCTGTTGCTGTCTCAAAATACAAAATACATGCCCTCTATGTGTCCCAAGGCCACCTCTCCCAAATGTAAACCTCCTAGAGACCTACCCTTGGCTACAATTACCACAAACGAACATCATCAAATTGCACAGTGAAAATAGTGAATTATACAACCCTAGATGAACATGCCAGGGACAGCTTTAAAAGCTCACCTGAAGCAACGGCGCTGCAATTTCTTAGGCCACTCTTGACATATAGCACAAAAAAGCTTTGGCATTTTCTGCTCAGCAGTTACACATTTCCAAAAACTACATGCACAATGCACGTACACATGGTTTTCACGGTTTTCACCAGAGTATATAGACGTTTTCACCACTCAATGCTGTTGCTGAAACAAATAAAAGGACCAAGTGATATAGGCATGGATGGCATAGGTTAGCAGTCACTTGGCGGTCACTTATTTAGTATGTAACTATCAGTTGTCTAAAAATTGTAACTGCAAAATTGCAATGGATGGGCCTCCTGGTTCCACGCTCCTGTCCCACTCTATACTGATACTGATACAGCTGATACATAGCCATTACAATGCTATGTAAGCCTTTTACAAGGTTTGCATAGACGTTCCACAAGACGTTCTCCTCGTTATTTCTTGCTTTCAACTACTGGTCCCCGAACGATGACGACTACCTTTACGCAAAAAAAGATAATGGAGCTAACCATTAAGCCCAAAAAAACATCACGGAAACGTAACAAAACACCTTTTTTAAGGAGATGAACTGAGTGGTTTTGTGTCTCTCACAACGCACAAACAACACATCTTTCAGAATTCAGACAGTGCTGCCAGATGGGGAAGGCTGTAATCCTCTATATCAGTTACAAAAATCCTCCAGATTCCTCCAAATCCTATTGGTAGATATAGAAAGGCGGTCTTGGAAGCTGCGGGGGGCTATACCCCCAAAAAAGTTTCACCAAATACTAAAAACCCATCGGATTTCGAATCTTTTCGCACTGCTGTGCAGTTTAAAAGATACTTTTTCTTATAAAAGTTGTTGAGTTTTCGTTTTATCTTCAAAAAACGAAAATTTTCGTCGATTTCAGGCGCTGCAGGGGGGCCGGGGGCATTTGCCCCAAATGTCCCCCTTAGATCCGCCAGTAGTTTGGCACCCTCGTAAATATAGCTACAGACTGAGACATTCTGCAGTCTCACGGTGATAAAGGACGTGATATATCCTAACGGGTAGGGTGACGCTGGGCAGGAAAATGCCTTTTTAGTCTTGAATGTGTTATATTTTTCCATGAAATTGAATATAATAATCGGGCGACAAATCCTCCAGATTTTCCTCCAGAATCAAAAATCCTCCAAAAGCGAAATTTGTCCGCAAATAGAGTTCAAAATCCTCCAGATTTGCGGAAATCCTCCAAATCTGGCAACACTGAATTCAGATACGACGCGCCACACAAACTGATGCATAAAGATTATGTTCAAAAGTGTGAGCGGCAGCTCCGCAAGCGCTTGTTGGCGAATTAAAAGCGTATGTTTTACCCCGTCGCCATAGCAATTTCTAAGCGTTTTAAATTTCGAACACTATTTGAGTGAGCCGAGTTCGACATCGACGGGGAGTGTCTAAAAAGCAGACGAGATTAGCAGACGAGCCCATGCTCAGTAACTACTGGACCGATTTTGATAATTCTTTCACCATTCAATAGCAGGGAACTTACATAGGTGACGTTTTTCGTTTTTTGGCGATTGGTTCACTCTGACTGGACCAATCGGACCAAAATGGTCCAGAACCATACACCCCTTTAAAAGCAGACGAGCCCATGCTCCGAAACTACTGGACCGATTTCGATGAAATTTTCACTATTAGACGCGCCGTGGTCTGAAACGGTGCCATTTTTCGATAATTTTTTATTGGTCCACCCTAAGTGGTCCAAATCGGTCCAAAACCCCTAAAATCTGTTGCAGACGAGCCCATGCTCCGAAACTACTGGCCCGATTTCGATGAAACCTTCACCATTAGACGCGCCGTGGTCTGAAACGGTGCCGTTTATGATAATTTTTTGATTGGTCCACCCTAAGTGGTCCAAATCGGTCCAAAACCGCTAAAATCTGTTGCAGACGAGCCCATGCTTCGAAACTACTGGACCGATTTCGATGAAACCTTCACCATTAGACGCGCCGTGGTCTGAAACGGTGCCGTTTTTGATAATGTTTTGATTGGTCCACCCTAAGTGGTCCAAATCGGTCCAAAACCGCTAAAATCCGTTGCAGACGAGCCCATGCTCCGAAACTACTGGACCGATTTCGATGAAACATTCACCATTAGACGCACCGTGGTCTGAAACGGTGCCGTATTGGATAATTTTTTGATTGGTCCACCCTAAGTGGTCCAAATCGGTCCAAAATGCCTAAAACCCGTTTGCACTTTGTCAGAATCCGGATAGATTTCTGCAGCACAGAGGTGCCCCAAACCCATTGTCATGCATTTTGCTTTCCAAACTAGAGCAAAAATGCATGCTTTTTGGGCCTGGGGCGCCTCCGCGCTGCTGAAACCAGCTCATCGGTTGACTACGTAAAAACGTATTTTTGGGCTGTACTTGAACCGATTTGGACCACTTCAGTAGCGGCGGAACATCTTCAATTAAAGGGGGGCACCGCCGACTTTTGGTCCCATTCTTTCCATGCAACGCCCATAGGGCTAATGTTAAAATGCCAAAATCAAAGGGGGCACGGTGCCCCGGTGCCCTCCTAGTTCCGCCGCCTATGGACCACTTAGGGTGGACCCATCAAAAAATTATCCAAAAGCAGCACCGTTACAGACCACAGCGCGTCGAATGGTGAAGGTTTCTTCCAAATCGGTCCAGTAGTTTCGGAGCATGGGCTCGTCTGCAACAGTTTTTAGGGGTTTTTGGACCGATTTGGACCACTAAGGGTGAACAAATAAAAAGTTATCGTAAACGGCACCGTTTTACACTACGGCGCGTCGAATGGTGTAGGTTTCATCGAAATCGGCCCAGTAGTTTCGGAGCATGGGCTCGTCTGCAACAGATACAGATTTTAGGGGTTTTGGACCGATTTGGACCACTTAGGGTGGACCAATAAAAAATTGTCAAAAACGGCACCGTTTCAGACCACGGCGCGTCTAATGGTGAAGGTTTCATCGAAATCGGGCCGGTAGTTTCGGAGCATGGGCTCGTCTGCAACAGATTTTAGCGGTTTTGGACCGATTTGGACCACTTCGGGTGGACCAATCAAAAAATTATCATAAACGGCACCGTTTCAGACCACGGCGCGTCTAATGGTGAAGGTTTCATCGAAATCGGTCCAGTAGTTTCGGAGCATGGGCTTGTCTGCAACAGATTTTAGGGGGTTTGGACCGATTTGGACCACTTAGGGTGGACCAATCAAAAAATTATCAAAAATGGCACCGTTTCAGACCACGGCGCGTCTAATGGTAAAGGTTTCATCGAAATCGGTCCAGTAGTTTCGGAGCATGGGCTCGTCTGCAACAGATTTTAGGGGTTTTGGACCGATTTGGACCACTTAGGGTTGACCAATCAAAACATTATCAAAAACGGCACCGTTTCAGACCATTGTGCGTCTACTGGTGAAGGTTTCATCGAAGTCGGTCCAGTAGTTTCGGAGCATGGGCTCGTCTGCAACAGATTTTAGGGGTTTGGACCGATTTGGACCACTTAGGGTGGACCAATCAAAAAATTATCAAAAACGGCACCGTTTCATACCACGGCACGTCTAATGGTGAAGGTTTCATCGAAATCGGTCCAGTAGTTTCGGAGCATTGGCTCGTCTGCAACAGATTTTAGGGGTTTTGGACCGATTTGGACCACTTAGGGTGGACCAATCAAAAAATTATCAAAAACGGCACCGTTTCAGACCACGGCGCGTCTAATGGTGAAGGTTTCATCGAAATCGGTCCAGTAGTTTCGGAGCATGAGCTCGTCTGCTTTTAAGGGGGTGTATGGTTCTGGACCATTTTGGTCCGATTGGTCCAGTCAGAGTGAGCCAATCACCAAAAAACGAAAAACGGCACCTATATAAGTTCCCTGCTATTGAATGGTGAAAGAATGATCAAAATCGTTCCAGTAGTTACTGAGCATGGGCTCAGCGGCGTATTTAGAAAATCGCGAAGGGGGGGGGGGGCAAGGGTTTGGAGGGCGCCACCTCACCCAAGGAGGGCGCCATACGGTCGCGAGATAAAAAATCGCTCAGTGGGGGTTGGGGGGTTGGGAGGCGTTTTTTACCATGCCACCAGTTTTTTTTTTTGCGTAACCTCGTATAGGTCGTGCTGCATTGATTTTGCATCGTGTGTATTCTTTATACTCCAGGTCACAAAAGGTCAAGTGTTCTTGAAATGCTGCGCCGAAGGCGCGCGAAATTTTTGAAAACAACCTTTTCCTCCGCTTTTTAGGCACGCCTTTTATACGATCACTGTTCAAAGCTCCTCTCGCTCTTTTACCAAATTTGAAGGTGTAAAAAATACCTAAGGTTTGGTCGGGCCGCTGCCACACAAACTGTACAGAAAGCTTGGCTCATGGGTGTCGATGTAGGTATAAAAGTTTATTGGCGGTGGCATATCTACGCACCAGATCACCGTATCGGATTGATACCGGAGCGCGAGATGCGTAAACATCATCCAAATTACCTCAGACCAGCCTTCATAGCCTTCTCACAGATGCATACAGTGTACCCACATAACCAGTTTCAATCACCGAAACTTCAGATGCCTGCTGTTGCGCCCGAACCTGTTGACAATACTTAATCGTAATCCATATAGATGCCATGATGCACGTAAAGTAGGATCAATCCGTTAAGACCAAAGACGTGTTTTATGCATCGTAGAGCGTAGATAGTTTTGGTAGGTATAGATACTTCATTCATTGTGCTGAATGCACGTTCATTTGTGGCAGTTTTCACAGGCAAGACATCAACTATGTGCAATAGAACGACTAAGTTGAAAAACATGCCAAAGGAGTAAATAAATGATAGGAGGGCAGCGATCAACGGATGTTGCCAATAGGTAGAAGGGCTGCGATCCACAGGAGGGCACTAATAGGTAGAAGAGCCCCGATCAACATCCCGAGTTTCGACAGTAGGGCACCGATAGGTAGGAAGTTGGCGAGCAGCAGGAGGGCGCCAATGGATAGAAGGGCAGCGATCAACAGGAGGGCACCAATAGGTAGGAGGGCCCCGATCAACAATCAACAGGAGGGCGCCACCAGGTAAGAGGGTGGCGAGGAACAGGAGAGCACCAATAGGAGGGTGGCGATCAACAAGAGGTCGCCAATAGGTGGGAGGGCGGTCATCAACTGGAAGTCGCCAATGAGCGGAAGGGTGACGATTAAAATGGGGGTGGCAATGGTGAGGAGGGCGCCTTTGCTCAAGAGGATGACACGAACAGGAGGGCGTCTGTGCGGAGGGCGCTGGTCAACAGGAAGGTGCCAGTGGATAGGAGGGCGGTGATCAACAGGAGGGTGCCAGTGGTTGGGAGGGCGGCGATCTACACGAGGGCGCCAATAGGAGAAGGGCCCCGATTAACATTCAACAGGAAGGACTAGGGAACCAATAGGTAGGAGGGCGGCACTGAACAAGAGGGTGCCAAAAGGGAGAAAGGCGGCCTTCAAAATTTCACATGAGGGCTCAATAGGTAGGAGAGCGCCAATAATTATGAGGACGCCGATCAGCAGAAGGGCGGCAATGTGTAGCAGGGTGGCGACCTACAGGAGGGCGCCTTCGGGTGAGAGGGCGCTTATTTACAGGACAGCGGCTT